GAAAATGCTGGGCTGAGGGTGGGCGTGCTGTGGCCGTCGTTTCGCGTGGGTTCCGCGAAACTCGGCTTTCGCCGGAAAACCCGCGAGTTTTCCGGCGACTGGGCTTTTTTTTTTTTTTCGTTTTCATTTATTTATTATATATATATATATATATTTTTCTTTCTTTCTTTCCCGGGTCGTTACAAGAGATATAGCAATAGTACACCTAAATTCCTACCTTTTATACAGATTATGGAAGATAATTAATACAAATAAGGTTTGGCTCATGCTTTAAATTTGTATTTAAGAAATAGATTACTTTTAATAATAGTATAATTTACGTCCATCAATCAATGTTAACCGCATGACTAGACAAGAATAAAATAAAACAACTTCCTTTTAAATCAAGAACGGTCAGCATAGACGTTACAAAACGTGATTATTCTTTCCTTGAAATCGCAAGGAAATAAAGAAGACGTTACAAAGATGAGGCGTTTCACGGATATAAAATGGGGAACTGATACCCAAGCATTCCATTGTAGCAAGGAATAAGAGAAGAAAAGAATGGCGGGACAAAGCTTGAGAAATCTCAAAATTGTGGTGTTCATCTTCCTAGCCCTTACTTCTGGTACTTGATCCTTCCTGCTTCTCCATATTGATTTAGATTGACGGATAGTATTAAAAAGAAGGTTTTTGTTTGAATGAATAAGTTTGTGTTACTGTTGCAGGATGGATGGTGGCTCAGACGGAGGGGCGGACATGCTATAAACACAGCGATGCGTTTATAGGACCGTGCATTGAAGAAACATGTGCTGAACTTTGCATTTCTTTTGAGAAGTGGGATGGCGGATTTTGCTCGGGTGATAAATGCACTTGTTCGAAGCAATGTGCTGAGTCCACGCTTTAGTGGGTTTGTAATTCACCACAGTTGTTGCTATCTGAATGTAATAAGCGACTCCAATTCTACTGAATTGCACAACATGTTTACTCATCCACGCTTCTTTCTTCCTTCTTCCTTTTTATAATTTTTATCTCAACTCGCAAGTTCAAATTTATAGGATCATATGCTTCGTTAGTTGCATAAATTGATGCAATCAAGTTCAAAGCTTCCTGATTCCTTATTCCTTCTTCGTTCTTCCATTGAACTATGCATTATCATATTGATTAGACTAACTAAACAACACAACTATTTTTTTAAATACCATTTCTTAATCATTTAGTTCTTTATTTTTTTTTTAAAGAAATCATTTAATAATTTTTAGAAAAGAAAATTACACTCATCTCATATTTGTTTCTTTCACGGGATCTCTCCACAAATTGGGAACTCAACCATTTTAAAATTTAGAACTTCACTTTTTTTTTTCTAATATTACAATACTAAATATTCAAAAAAATAAATGAAGATATTACTAGATTTAGTTAGATGGAGTTAGATTCAACCAGAATTTGTGATTAATTTAAAATATATATATTTAATTTGTAATTTTTTTTTATTGTTTATTTTTCAACCCTCCTAATTATTTTTAACCATATATATTGAAACTAAGTTGTAAAACTTAATTAAATATTTGAAAATAAATAAATA